ACGTCCTAAAGCTTATATACTATTCTAAAATTATAGAAAATTAGGCCCAAGCCCAAAAATAGTGCCGCTCAGCGGTAAACTACCGCTCAGCGGTAAGTGCGTGAGTTGTTTTCTTCCCCTCAGCGGCCAAATCACCCGTCAGCGGATCCAACGTGACTACCTGAGTGCCGCTCAGCGGTAAACTGCCGCTGAGCGGCAGTTGCGGCTTCTCCTTTTGCACTTTTTGATGTCTTTTCTGATTCCATCTCTATCCTTCTTCACTTCTTTCACCAAATTCACCTTAAAACCTGCACAAGAACACTGAAATCAAGCATAAACCTGTCCAGCTCTCTTATTTCTAAAAATATGACCAAAAGCATGATTTCAAGCTAGTTTCTAAGTGTTAAAGGTTGCTTTTAGTATCAATTTTAAGCATGAAAATAACAGTTTTCACTAGTGGAAAAATGACTTTTTATAACGTACAAAAATGATCTTTTATATCATAGTTACTGGGGACATAGTTCTGGGCGATATAGTAAGTCTGCGCATTTTATAACGTAGAAAAAATTTACGTTATAATATGTTCAACATATTACAACGTAGTTTCTGAAGTACGTTATAATATACACAGTTTATTATAACAAATTTTTCATTTGTCCATTATAATAGGTGGAAGATATTATAACGTAGAAGATTTTGTACGTTATAATATGTTATATATTATTACATATATATTATTGTACGTTATAATATGTGATCAACCTACCATATCATACATTACTTAGTACGTTATAATAAATGCTTTTTTTAAAAAATTGATTATTAAATTTGACCATCCAATGAAATTATCATACAGCATCCCCTGATTATAGTTGAAGAGCATTCCATCAATGGTTAAGATTCATTTAATTAGTGAAAACAATTAAACAGGAAAAATTCTTTTCTTCCTTCCTTCTTTGCCATAAATGCATTTATTGTGTATATGAGAAACAATGTGAAGGACACAATGTTGGGATTCCCTTTATTGATCAAAGGTAGATGATGATACAAACAGAACAGAACAAAACAGAACAATTCTGTTATTACTTAATCACATTGTCCACAAGGACTCCAAAACTCAAGCTCCAAACTACTTGTTCTTCAAAACAACGAAAATCATACTCATCAAGCGTTTACCTCAGGTGGATTCTGCTCCAGATCAGTTTCAGAACCTTCAACTGAAATGTCCTTGGAAGTCTTTTCTTGAACTTTTTCACCTTGGCTTGCCTCACTTGCTGGCTCAGTTGGTGGTACTGTTAAGCCAGGTATAAGAACAGGACCGCCTTCAAAATCAAATAATAAGCTGCTTTCCACAACTGTCCCTTCCTCATTGATTGATGCAGTACTTCCATTGTTTCCAAGATCATGAATTATATCATCATTTCCTGCACTATCAGCTGATTCTTCACTCCGTTCAATCTTTTCATTCAATTTACTGTTAGTATTCTTGATGAGATCCTCATAGAAAGTTGTATTTTCTGCAACAATAACATAACGAATTTCCGTGGAGAAAGAACTACTATTATCAGTGACTGGTGCAGTAAGTGGTATCTTAACAGCCTTTATTACAGATGCATTGGAATCCAGTTCGTTGTGAGGATTATCCAAAATTTCAGCAGAAGCAGACACTTCAGAGTCAATCTGGGGTTCCTTATTCGGTTCAGCAAGCCGTTCTTCCTTTGTTATTTTCTGAAGTTCTTCATTCTCCCAATCTTCACAAACAGTTATTGTATTCACGGTTTCCCAAGTGTGGATGACTCTATCTGATCCTGGCTGCCAAATAATATCACCTTCTTTTCCTTTCAATATGAACTTGAACTGGATTGACTTCCCAACAAGCATATCCTGATTACATAAGGGAAAGCACAAACAAAATTTCTTTGTGTTCTCTCTATCAGAAAATACTTTCCAATTCTGATCAGATTTTACTCACCTTCTCAGCAGTCCATATATGTCCTTCAGACCATGTCATCGGCAATGCTTCTAAAGGGTCCCATGAACCAAGCGTAGGATCATCTCCAACTATAAGAAACTGTTCTCCGAAGTCACAATTCTTTTGCAACTGAAATGCTACACGAACAAACTTCGCGGTTCTCTCGCAAACAACAAATCAATGTTTTGAATTTGAATTCCACAGGATATATACCCAATTTAAAGACCATTCCAACCCACTTGTTTGTTCATTTTTTTTGAGCTTCAGTTTCTGCAGTTTCCAAGTCCCACCTGCAGCATTTCATTCCAGGTCAAGACAGTCTTAATCAAATATGTAGTCAAGACCAAGAAACTAACAACTACATCTTCTCAGTTTTGGCTCAAGATGCTCTTTGAATTACCACTCATCATTGATATTACAAGACTTCAAAGAAATAGAAAAAAAAAATTCAAACGGAAACTAAGCAAGAAAGAATCTTTCCTTCATGGCTTGGTATAAAGACAAGGAAATTTTAAAAACTATGAAATTAAAAGCAAAAGATTGTGCAGGTGGCAAATGGTAAGGAAAAAGCAAACACAAAACATGAATTGATGTTGAAAGCCGTCAAACGTATCAATAAACAATCTTTTCTTAAAAAGGGCAAGAAAAAAGAAAGTCACATGGAATCAGAACCAAGAAGTATAGAAGTAAAACGAAATGGTCAGCAGCAAGTTTTGGATCTACACAGACTCACATAATAAAAAAGAAACCAAAAGATGTGATAAAACTACCCAAACACAACCTTTTAGTTGGTAAAGAACAGTACACGAATATCCAGGAAAAGAAAAGGGGCAAGAAAAGAAAACGAAGCATATCTTGCGGAACCCAATAGAATTTCCCCCACTCGAAAGCAACCACGTTCCAAAGAAACAAGCACCCATGAACACGATAACTCAAACAAAGAAACCCAAGGCTGCAAACTAAACACAGAAGGAAAAAGACCTGGTCTTTTGATGGCACTGATGAAACTGGAAAAACGCCCTTGATGGGACAACTTTGAGGCGCCACAAGTTGCCACCCTTCTTTTCTTTCCTTGGGGACCGCGGGGGAGGAAGAATTCGGGTCTATCAGAAACACGAACGGCAACTCTAGGAGGCAAAGATCCTAGATAATCGAGATGGCCTTGAGAACAAGAACTGGTGAGAGCCTTCCATCGCTTTTCCACAGAGTAGTGAGTTTGGTGTGCACACAACCCAACCACAACGAGTTCCACCACGGTAAAAGAGATTAAGTGTGATTATTCTTTGATCGCTTCTTGTTGAATAGAGGCTGAAAATCCAGAATCTATCTAATGCTGGCGGTGAGGGTGAGTTCGGGAGAACTGGGGTGGGGTCCTTTTATAGTGGTGGGGCTTAAGAACGAAGTTTAATTTATTTTTTATGTTGTTATTTTATTTTTTAGTGGTATTAAATCATGCATGCAAGAGAATACTAATGAAAATGTATCCACGCACGTGTATGTCTCATGTGGAAAGGAAGTAGTACCATTGGGGTCCTTTCTTTACTTTTTTTCTTGCATTATTTTTACAGTAGATTACTTATGATTAAAAATAAAAACAAGAAGTTAAATTTTTTTCCTTTCTTCTTTCCAAAGATAAAAGATAAGTTTTCGAGAATAAAGTAAAATAGAGGTTTAATATACTTTACCTTTTTAATTTTGGATAAGATTGGGTTATTTTTTCACTAAAATTATTACTTTAATGGTTGTAATGTAAATACATTTCTCTATTTTTAATGGTCTTCTGCTTTGAAAGAAAAACAAAGATATATTCACACTTTTGGTTCATTTGAATTTCGAAAAGAAAAATCGTAATTATGTAATTTTTATACTTTTTAATCAGAATTTTCTAATTTAAAATTAATTAATAATCTTACGAAGAATTAAAAGTTACATTATTGACAAAAATTGAGAATTTGGAAACCTAAAATGGTGTATTTATACGAGAGATTCAACTTCCGCAATTATAACATAGAGAATTAAAATGGAACCATTACAATTATGGAGAACTAAAAAGTGCAATTGGCCAAAAATATAAAACTCGCAACCATATATACACAGTTAGTTATATAGTCAAAATCTTCAACAATGTTTGATATAAAGGAATTATAAGATTTGTTTATCAAATCTCAAAAATTAAAAGATCGTTTTTAAATTTAAAGAACTGAAAAGACATTTATTCTAAATTTAAGAAACTAATATTATAATTAGTGTTAAAACCGACCTGTTGATTGTTAATTTGAAAGAACATAATTTATTAGTATTATTATTTCTACAATATATAATACAAATATTATTAAAGCATTTTTATTATGGTTCTCAGTATTCACTTTATTAGCTTTTTAATTATTTTAAATATTATTATCGTTTTTGAATTATTTTAAACACTAATTAACTATACTGACACAAAAATTGTACTTTTATTTATATTAATTGTCTACAGATCTAATGTAAAAAAAATTACATAACCCAAAATGCTTTGTTTTTTTTAACTCCGTAACGTAAATACTCTTACAATCGTACACTTGGATTAATATTCAAAGAAAAGTAATTCTCCGGTTACTAAATTCTTTTATTTCTTTCTTTGCACCCAATTCCCAACTTATTATCAAGTATTACTATTTTACCTATTAAAAGTTCTATGGAGTTTTATACTATATGACCAAATCAGTGACCAAATCAGTGAATGAATCAGTCGAATCATAAACAAAATTAGCAAATAATTAATTCTAAATTAATGATTAGTGTATGGTTCATAATTGGACTAGCACTCATTAAAAGTTATCACAAAAGTCTATTAATATATATTTGATATTCAGGTAGTTGGTTACTTTTTACTACATATTTATTGTCAATGTATTCACACGAACACTTACTTTAGTATCAGGGTGCTTTCTGTAACGCCCTAATTTTCAGGATGTCACGGATTATTCAAAAATCAAAAATCGGTAAAGTTTCAAACTTTAACATATCGCGAAAATGTATTTTCAAAAACCTGAACATTTAAACGTGCCTAAAACATATAGTTCCAAAACATTTGTCCACTAAAAGTAACAAAGGAAATAAAATGACTTCAATTATATTTTCTTAAAGTTCAAAGTATACTGTAATTAAAATCTCAAAGTTTGTCCCCTGCCATCTCTTAAATCTATCATGCCTCAGTATCTGTAACATCATCTGCTCACGTATAATGCATTATACAATCATCGCTTATAATATCATTCACATCACACAAACAAACACATATGGGATAAGCTACAAGTAAAACAATCATATTAACATGAAACATATTGATTAAATCAACATTAATCAAACATCCCACACATAGTAGTAATAACAATAGGATTCCTAATCCTCTAACATAACAATCCAATCAAAACGAATTACTCGATCCTTGATATACGATCTCTAACCCTTGATGTCCTCACCGCACAACTAAATACTTGGTCTATCTAGCACCTAGCTAACTACTTACTATACTTTTATAGACAAACCGCTATCACATAGCATCAGTTAGAGCATCTCAACCACTATGATACCATCATAGTTACACACACCATCATGACTATCTCAATCATGAAAAAAACACCATAATCATATCGTATAATAAACAACCACAGTGGAAGAATTAGTCACCCTCTTGTAATCATACCTTAA